CTCAAGAGTGCGAGACAGTAATTGCATCAATTGAGGAATGCCACAACAAACCCACACTCATAAAATATAAAGTCAATAACTAATGTTTCAATATGCTAAATTTTACAGTTTTACCTAACTAATTAACTTCATCTAAAACTTTGCAAGAATGATTGTGCAATCGCCGTCTACAATGTTATCAACCAATTTATCAACTGGCAACCTGTGCAGAAATCACTTCGACCAACTGAGTGGGTCAAATTTTGAGCAGAAATCATCAGTCAATTCCTCAACGATAAGAACCGATCTTGGAAACTCGAGCACTACCAAATGTTGATAAAACATACCAAACCATAGAAATAATGAAAAAACTTCTTTACAATACAAATACTCATGTGAACATATTTTTGTACTTTTTTTTTCTTTTTTTTTTTTACATGTAACAAGTACTTTTTATGCTTTTGGTGATTGATCTTCTTGTGGTTATCATGGTGAAAAGATTGTTGTCATTGATGTCGTTGTTGCTTTTGTTGTTGTTATTATTCTAGTTGTTGTTATTCTTGTGCTTAATATTCTTGTTTGTGTTCTTGTGCTTATTATTGTCATCACATTTGTGGTTGCATATAAATTCATAGAGGAAATGTTGTTTTTAATAATTCTTAAAACTGCAAAATTATTCAGTTTCATCAAGTTGTTTTTAATAATTCTTAAAACTGTAAAATTATGCAATTTCATCAGGCTGGTTCTCATAATTCTTACAACTGCAAATTTATGCAGTTTCATCACTCAAACAAAAATTATACTACACAATTATGTAGTTTTATGATCGTGAGTGCCTTTCACGCATTATAATATGTATTTCCTACATAATTTTTAAAACTGCAAAATTATCCAATTTCATCACTCAAACAAATAGATGAACTGCATTTCAAAATTAAAAATAAAACTACAAAATTCTACAGTTTTGTTACTACAAAATATTAAATAAATATATTATGTAGTAAAACTGCAAGATTATACAATTTCTATAAGAAATTTTCAACAACCTTCTCAGCATTCCACAAAAATAAAACCAACCAAATCTACAAAAAAATAAAATAAAATAAAATTGTAATAAAACAATTTCAATAACTAAAGAACACATCTAAAAAAAAAAAATGCAACCAACTTTATTCATTACTTCCATAATACCAAGTATCACATTTTATTATCACAATTCCTCAACTTCAAATAGAAATCCAAAAGAATAGACTAAGACCTCAAATAGCAGCCTTGCACGTCTTCTTATTGTGATTCCCATATTTCAAGCACCTCCCACACTTGATTTATTTCACATTCTCATCCTTAGAAGGTATCATCTTCTTCTTTTTCCGCCGGGGCTACTTCTTCGTTATAAGAGGTTTGATAATTGAACTACTGGTACCATCAAAGTCAAATCTCTCATTTGAAGGCACTGGATAAACAGATTCCTTGTACGACTCTCTAAAACAATCCACATGAAAAAAAGAATCAATGAAATCATACACATCTCTACTACTACTACGCAAAACATGCACAGCATGACAAGGAAAATCATTCAATTTCCATTCATGGCAAGAACAAGTTCGTCTACCAATATCAACATAAAAAGAAATAGAAGAATGAACCTCAAGCACAATATCACTAGCAACAATCACATCCCAAGACTTAGTTGACTTCAAATAATCCACCAACTTATTTTCCATAACTGGACACAATTTGGTAGTCCATCTTTTAGATTCAACTCTTCTATTAGACAATTGAGTCATGATTTGAACCCTAATCATATCAATCATACAAGTAATAGGCAACTCACGGGTCCCACCAATCTAATTATTGTAAAACTCGGCAGCATTAGATGACATCTCACCATATCGTTTCCCTCTAAAAAATGCATTGACTCACTTATCATTTTGCAAACCATCCAACATACTATCAACTCTACCATTCGTAGTAATACGTCTCAATTTTTCCATATAATGTTGGAATGAAGCAACAGTTGGTGCATAAGCACATTTAACTAATATTTCATCAAAGTCAGCTTATAGTTAGTAGGAAATTCCACCAATTTGTCAATCAAATTTATCTTCAAAAAGTTCAAGCAATATGCATTATGTGCATTGGGAAAAACCACTGAAAGAGCATCTAGCAATCTATGTTGATGGTTCGACACAAAGGACAATCTCCAGCCTGAACCAACAGTTTTTAACAACTGACTTAAAAATCACATCCAATTATCTTGATTTTCAGCATCAACAATCGTAAAAGCCAAAGGAAACAAGCCTGAAAACAAAATAACATGAAACTACAAAAATTAGCAGACTCACAATACAATAACAGAAACCAAAATCCACCAACTACCAAAACACACTCACAAAACCAAAACTATACTAACTGCAAATAAATACATACCTTTATTACCATCATTTGATGTTGCTGCAAGTAAATGCCCCCTTGTAAATCCCCTTCAAGAATGTACCATCAACAAACAACAATGGATGACAAAATTGAAAACCATACAAACATCCATGAAATGCCATAATTAACCTCCGAAAGCACCTACTACTTTCATCCACATCTAATTCAAACACACTTCTAGGATTTGTTCTCATACCCGTCTCAAGGTACCATCGAAGTTAGTTAAAAGAAGTTGCAAAATCACCAAACAACCCACCTCTTGCCTTATCAACTCCTAACCATGCAACCCGATAAGAAACATCTATACCATATTGCTTTTTCAACTTTTTTTTTTAACTTCAATAGGACGATTCAACGGATTATCACTAATATCATTATGCTTAATATCAGACACAAGTCTAGAACCAACCATTTTGCTACAAGATCTACGAGCAACAACCCCACAAGTATGTACATTTTCCAACTTTATAATTAAAAAAATACCATAATTCATCAACACCTTTCCATACACAAACCATTTACAACTCGTAGACAACTTCATCATACATTCAGCAGTTACTCTTGTTGCATCGTTCTTCAAATAATTCACTGCAAAACTATACTCAACTGCATACTTAGCCGATGCAATACAGAACGCCAGCACTCCATCTTCAAATTCTTGACCAACACTGTGTATAATCCCTTTCCAACTAGCAGACAACAAGACTCTTTCTGATTCTGGATAAAAACTAGGCAACAAACCACCAAGATCATCATAATCATTAACCAAAGAACTCTCACAAATTACAAAATAAATCCTAGAAGAATTATCATTAACCTTCACAATTCTCCTATCACCTACAACAATATCAATAACATGAGAACCACTGCAACCTACCATTGACATCATATTTCCCAAATCATCATTACATTCAACAATACAATTAGAATATCTAAGAAAAGAGAAAAATAAACAAAAGTTACCAACACTCAACTCCTTGAACTGCGCAGATATTTTCTCAACAACTGCATGATAACTACATCTCTCACTAATCTTAATAGCAGCAAAAGAGTTACTGTATTTGCACATTAACATGAAACACCCCTCCATACTACAAAATCACAAACCAGCAAACAATTATTCACAGATTTTAAACTGCAAAATTATACAGTTATAACATATCAGTATTAACACTTCACAATGCACAATTCCAAACTGTAAAATTATACAGTTACAACATATCAGTATCAAAACTTCAGAATTTACAATTCCAAACTATAACTTCAAAACACATTACACTAAACAACAAACAAAATCAACAAAATCAAAATTATTACACTATATCACATACAAAAATCACAAAATAAGTATCAAACAAACAAAGTTTATCACAAAACAAAAAACTATAACAACATTGCCAAACACAAACCAGAGATCACACAAACACAGAGAGAGAGAGAGAGACAGAGACAGAGTGAGACACAAACACAGAGAGAGAGAGAGAGAGAGAGAGAACGTATGCAGAGATCGCCTATACACAGAGATTCAGATCGCACAACCAGATCCACTTCACAGCACAATGAGATCGACCACATAACACAATAAGATCGCCATAACGAAGAGAAATCGAGATCGTAGAGATGAAGATTTGATTTCTTTTTTGAACGAAGCAAAAATTTGATTTTTCACGTATATATAGATCTCAAAATAAAAGGTAATACAGTCATTTACAAAATACAAAAACACAATTCCAAACTGTAAAATTATACAGTTACAACATATCAGTATCAAAACTTCAGAATTCACAATTCCAAACTATAACTTCAAAACACATTACACTAAACAACAAACAAAATCAACAAAATTAAAATTATTACACTATATCACATACAAAAATCACAAAATAAGTATCAAACAAACAAAGTTTATCACAAAACAAAAAACTATAACAACATTGCCAAACACAAACCAGAGATCACACAAACACACACACAGAGAGAGAGAGAGAGAGAGACAAAGACAGAGTGAGACACAGACACAGAGAGAGAGAGAGAGAGAGAGAACGTATGTAGAGATCGCCTATACACAGAGATTTAGATCGCACAACGAGATCGACCTCACAACACAAAGAGATCGGCATCATGGAGAGAGATCGAGATCGCAGACAACCTCGCATAGGCGAATATTTGATTTTTCACGTATATATATATATATATATATCTCAAATCAAAGGATAATACAGTCATTTAAAAAATAAGAAAATATAAAATGAGACCTCTAGATACAAAACTTAAAAAATTGTGGACCTATTAGTCTATTAAAAATAAGAAAATGGTTGGAACTCCCAGTGGGGATGACCCCCAGCAACCCCACTGGTTTTTCATTGGTTGAAATTTTTTTTTTTCTGTCTTGCTTCATAGCCCCCGTGGAGGTAGAGGTGCTGGGGTCACCCCACTGGGTCCCAGCAATATCATTAAAAATATAATGAAATTAGTAGGGAAATACGTCCCTACCTAAGATTACATAATAATTTTTCCTTTTTTTATTTTTATTTTTTTTATATCAAATGTTGTACCTTATGTATGGGACTCACACCATATCGCTTCATGTGAACCCCACACCCCCTCGGACCCCAGTTTCCCCTACGATTCATCCCCACATTCGTGGTGACTACGAAAGTGAACCCCAATTTTCTCTTCATCACGGCCTCTCCTCCTTGCGATTCACACTCTCACAGCTCTCTCTCTCTCTCTGTGCAAACATGAGCAAGGGACCTGGACTTTTCTCTGATATCAGCAAGAAAGCCAAAGGTAAATCACTCATACTTTACTCTCTCTCTCTCTCTCTCAGATTCGCCATTGTTGTGTACCAGTGTGTGTGTGTGTGTGTGTTTGCGTTGTATTTACGGAATTCTAATGTATTGCTTGAATGTAGATCTGCTGACAAAGGACTATGTCTCCGATCAGAAATTCTCCGTCTCCACTTACAGTGACACCGGAGTGGTATGAATTCATTTCTCTCTCTCTCTCTCTCTCTCGGATTCTTCTTCTTCCAGATCATAAATTAGGGTTTTCAGAGATTGTGCCACAGTTTTAAGTGAGTTTTACGTGAATAATCTATTTGCAATAGTTTTTTTTTTTTTTTTTTACCAATTTGTGATCGAATCTCCATTATTATGAATTATCTGTGTGAATTATGCTGGTGTTCTGTATAATGAAGGCACCGCTAGTATTTGCTTTGCTTTTACACTAGACTTGTTTTTAGAAGAGTTTGTAATCAATGTGCTTATTAAGATATTTATTGAAACATTAGGAACAAGAATCCTTATCTTGACCATTACTCCTAGATCAATGTGTATATATATATATATATTTGTACCAAGTGATTGGTGATTGCCCTTATGTACAAAGCCCTCAACCTCAAGGTTTGTAAGCTGACCACTGAACTAGTGTTTCCCTGTTTCTGGTGTTTACCACTTGGACTTCCTTTTTCTTGGTAAGTTATTTTATTACCAAAAATAAGGTTTTACAAAGGGCGTGGTCAACATATGAGAGCTAATGCCTAATTGTTCAGCCCGAAGTCATTTTCTTGAAGCAGAGAGAAGGATCAAGTTGTAAATTATAGATTTGTGAACTTGGTGTGTTAATATTCTTTTTCAAATTTTCCTTTTGGTTGTGTCAGTGGTCTAAAATTTGAGAGGACTATAGCAGTGGTATGCTGCTAATGTGTTATTCCTTTTGGACCTCCTTTTAAAAAAGGAGAAGTGGCATTCTTTTTGGATTAGGAGAGAGCTGATCCTTGTGCCTTCTCTAATCCTCAAATGGCTTGTTCCAATGATGTAGGCCTTTCAGTTGCTTTCACATATTTGGTAGATAAATATTCTTGTGTTGCTTGTTTCCAAGGCTTCATTAACCAAATTTATCAGCAACTTAATAAAAATCTATTCGTATGGGGTTGACAAAAGTGAAATTGAGCTTTCAGTTTTTCTGTGACAAGGATTATTCTAAATAAGAGAATTAAAGAAGCTCTAATAAATTGGTTGAGAGAACCATCGAACCATTATAAGAACATACCAGTGGTAGGTGTTCTTGGTATGTCTTTATTATTAAGTCATCATGTAAGATACGAAACACTACTTGCCAGGATCTAGATGGTAGAACGGAAAGGAGGAAAATTACTAGTATTCATTTATGAAATGAAAAAAAGATAAAGAGAATTGGGATATTGACAATTAAATACTAATGGATTTAGGATATTGTGAATTGTCTTGTCTTTCCATTTCCCCCCTCTTTCAATAGGTGTTGACTCAAAGTTTGAGTATAAAAACAGATGCAAAATTATGCTGGACCTCATGGTTTCAACTATGAGTCTTCTTTTACATGTTTGTTTTTGTGTTTTTCCTTTTTTATTTACTTGGTAAGTGAGCATTTCATTACCAAAAAAGAAGAGATACACAATGGAGCTCAATACAATGCCCTTGGGACAACAAGCACAAAAACCATGGCCACATGCTCCCGGAGATAGCAAACAAAAAAATAAAAAGACCTAGGCACTAATTGAACTCTCACAACCAGAGAGCTTAGACCAAAATTAAATGTCCTCGCACCCCAAGAGGATAATGTAATTAAGCAATCTTGATACCTCCTTTCCCCAGAGCCAACTTCAATCCTTTGAAAAGCAACCTTTACTATTGTGAAAACTGAAAAGCAACCTTTCAGGAAAATAATGTAACTGGATCCTAGGTTTGAGGTACAGATGCTTCTCTGCTTTGTGATTGATAGGAAGTTTTGGAGAGAAAGCCCTTGTTGTAGTCTCTAAACAAACTCGTTGATATAGTTTCAATGACTCGAGGGATATGATTGGGGAAGAAGCAAAAGCTAGATACATTGCAGTTGCTATAAATGTATGGTGGAACTGTGAACTGAGTGTAGAAAATTGTAAGAGAGACAAGCATGCTCCATAAAAATTGGCTTGATTTGAAAGTTTAGCTTTTAGCACCCTCTTCCATCTCTCTTTTTGGTAATTCCCCCACCCTCTCTTCCTGCATCCCTCCAAGCCCCTTGCATATCTCCGTTGCTTGGTCTGCATTGGAGTAAGACTGAATGAGGCTTCTTGGTGTATGTTGTTTAATGGTGATATACTGATAGTTGATGAAAGTATGGTAAAAATAAACAGTATAAGAGTTCCCAAATCGACATTTACGGTTCATGGCTGCAAGATTATCTGAAGTGTCATTTTTCTTGGAGATCAGTTGTAAAGAAAAGGAAGCTTGAAGGTGTTGCTGTGGGAATGGAGTGAGATGAATGAGTCCAAATTTTAGTTTGACATGTTTTGTGATTTGTTCTATACATAACAAATTGAAGGTTTAGGACTAATTTTTTTATTTGGGTTACAAAAATGAATTGGTGGCATGACAAGACATATTAGTAGTATTAGGATTTTAAATGTAATAGGTTATTGATATTCTGAGACCAGATCTGAAAAGGTTATGGGTGTGGTCTTAAATTCAAGTTTAAGTAATGACTACTTTATTGAAAAAATATTAGCTGGAATAGAATATTTTGAAAAGACATAATTGTTCACAAAAAAATTACAAGAAAAAAAAAAGAGGACTGGATGGCCAATAATAAGACTGAACCCACCACTACTTGAAAGCTGGTGCATTTATCCCACAATATGTGACTGATAAGCTGGAATGGCAAAATAGAAATTTGTGGTGAAGGTAGTATTTGGTAACTTATTTTATTATTGAAATGTCTTTCACCACGATTTTTTATTTCGTTGACATGTCTTTTAATCACAAAATCTTTGAGCTGAAATTTATTAAAGTTGGGTTTTGGTAAATGAAGCTTCTGAACAAAATGAAAATAAAAATCAATTGAAGGTCAACAGCAAAGATTAAGTGATGGTGGTTGATATCTCTGAAATAGTAATGCAATGACCATATAAACAGGCATTTTATGTTGGCTTTATAAAAATAAAAAAAAAATCTAACCTACCCAAGTCTCTCTCTCTCTCTCTCTATATATATATATACTAGGCACGGTGTAAATAATATTAGGATTATGATATAATTGTACTCGCAAAACTATTTAAATTTAAGATTAAAATGTAATTATAAAAATATATTTAATAGACTACATTCTACAATTCCAAACAAATCTAATATAAAAAAAAAAATTAAATATCAAATAATTAAAAACTAATCATGGGACTAAAGATATCCAATTAATTTTTTTATTTTTATTTTTATTTTTATAGATGATTTACTAAACGGACCTTACAATATGAACGTTTCAAATAATTAAAAGTTGCTCCTCATAACTTGATTGGACTCTATTGCGTAAAGGGAATCATAGTTTCACCAATTTCATAGGCCAATGTAATTAATTGCATGCTTCCTATATATTAAGGAAATAAAAGTGCATACTTCTCTGCTGAAGCGCATTCAGTAAACTCACAGTCATATTATTTTGACCCTCCATCTCTAATTAGGATATTTTCACAACTCCTGCACACAGGCAATGCTTGCTTTTTCTGAAGCAAAGCAAGGTACAACAGCCTAATGCACCTGGCAAAATCCACCATTTGATATGGCACCATTCCCCCACCCCCCAAAAAAAAAAAAAAAAAATTAACATTGATTAAAAAAAAGTTATAGAATTTTATACTAAAAGTCGAGTAAAGAAGATAAACATGAGCAATAATTATCTTCGCTTAGCCAAATTAATCATCTACCCAGAAGCCTAATCAAACCAAACTAAGTCTTATGTTACAATCAATTGGGATTGACTACGTGAATCCATTTCGTTTTTTCCATCCTGCTCTGTCAAGTTATAATTTAATTTACAACCCCAAGTGACCAGTTCATCTTCTTCAAATGATACATTGACACTGCATCATCAGAGCGATGATACTACAGCAAAGGACTCTAAATCCCATAAAATTAATCTCAACCCATTAGCAACTAAACAAAGAAGAATCCATAGCATGTCACGCACCCAAGAAATCTCGATAAACAACGCAGGTATTCAACCCAAAGGCACAATATTGTATCTTCTATCACATCACGCACCCAAGGACTCTATTGAATGTAATATATATTTTTTTTTTCACTATTTCTATCAATATTGTATCTTCAATAAGTTCATAAATTATAAATTAGTTCAAGAGAAAGAAAAGGAGAGAGTTTGGTTATCTAATAATCCACTTACCAAATAATTGAGAGAAGTTTTTGAAAGTCTTCACCAATCTGTGTATTCCAGTTGAAATGTTAGGCTTTGGAGCAGCCAAGAAACCCCAAGAATTCCTCATTTTCAGCCCAGATGATGAACTCTCTTCTCTTTCTTCTTTCCCTTGTAATAAAAGACATAAAACACAAAGCACTGTCAAATACACAGAGAAACCAAGGGAGTTACCTGGACTGAAACCAATGAACTCTCTCTCTCTCTCTCTCTCTCCCAACTTTTTAATTTATTTAAATTTTATCTGTCTTATACCAAATACTTTGATATTAATTTCCAAATAAAAAAAGTTATAAGCACCAACCAACATTTGGCAGAATAAGAACATTTTCTCTTCATGTTCTATTGAATGGAATATATATATTTTTTTCACTATTTCTATCAATATTGTATCTTCAATAAGTCCATAAATTATAAATTAGTTCAAGAGAAAGAGAAAATATTAAGATTAAAATCTGTGTGGGGATAAGATTAAAATCTGAGGGAGGAAATAAGCAAATTGAGGTGTGGGGATAAGAGAAAAGCAAATCTGTGTAACTTGAGCCTCTCTCCCAACTTTGAAAAGCAAATCTCTCCCAACTTTGTCTCAAACAATGTAACGTTGGGATCAATAAATGAGAACTTTATTTAGATTCTGGAAGTAAAAGAAGGAATAAATGACCAAACCTTTGAGCCTTGAAACCTTTCATAACTTTAAGAAACTCATCATATTTATCCCTTTTATCTTGAAATATGTCCTTAACTGCCTTGAGATATGCCAATGCATCATTGGTAGTTAGTTTCTGTGTGCTCGCTCCACCCATCATCTGGGCCCAGAGCTTCATTACCCACACCAAATAAAAAAATAAAATAAATCAATATACTAATTTTATCATTAAACTTAGGTCAAAATATATTCTTTCAACAAAGGTAGGTCTTAATTCCTATTTTTAGCTTCAACCCTAGATATATAATCAAACTTCAGACAGATTTTATAAAGAAAAATTCAACAAAAATCAGATCTTTGTTCTCCTTGAAGGAACAACATACTGAGTAAAAGAATGAAAAACAAAAATACTGAAGTTTAAAATCCGAAGCCAAACAAAATACCTAATCAGTAAATAACTAACAGACTCGCACTCAACAATTTCAAACATACCAAACCAAACCAAACGAAGCCTTAAGTCCCATCAAATGGGGTCGGCTACATGAATCCTTCTTCTCCACGCGGTCCTATCAAAGGCCCTTTCATTGGTCAAATTAAGTAGATTCATATCTCTATTTATAACGCTAGTCAACGTTAATCTAGGCCTACCTCGTCCCCTAACACTTCTATCTACCGTTACAGCATCGCATCTCTTCACTACTGCCTCTGTTGGTCTCCGTTGAATATGACCAAACCATCTCAAACGATTCTCTCTCAACTTATCTTCTATCGGTGCTACTCCTACCCATTCCCGAATACACTCATTCCTAATCCTGTCCTGTCTAGTCTTACCACACATCCACCTTAGCATGTCCGATTAGAATCACAATCCTAGCAAAAAAAAAAAAAAATTAAAATTAGCAAAAATTACACACCAGATCTGGGTTACACACCAGATCTGGGAAAAAAACACAAACACAACACAATAACCACAAATTTTAAACTCACAATCCAAAAACCTCTGAACACAACAGACCTTAACTCAACAAACAACAACGGTGGAGGAAAATAAGTAACCCAAATAAACTCCAAATTCAGAAAAATCGAAATCAAAACAAACAAAAATCGTACCTTGCCAAGCATCGGTAGCAAAGAGGCAAAGAGGGTTTCGGCGAGATCTGCTAAGAGGAGGAGAGGACTGAAGTGATAAAGGGGGATGAGGAAGAGGCTGTCATGATGGCGGTGGTCGAGGGATCTGTTGAAGAAGGAGAAACAGCGAGGGTCCTGCGAGGGAGAAGAGAGGTGGTCGCGATGGCGGTGGTTGAGAGGGTTCCTGTTGAAGAATAAACAGAGAGGGAGAGAGGGAGAGAGAGATAAAGAAGGAAGGAAGAGACGTGGGTGAGAGCAGAGAGGGAGAGAGAGACGTGGGTAGGTGAGAAGGTTAAGGAAGAGAAGTGTTTGGGCGGGAAATAAATAATTCAAAGCCGTTGATATATACTGAAGATTGATCTCAGCGGTCCAATTAAATGTATCTCTGAGACATTTCTATACATTTTCAAAAAACCTCTTACCTTATTATATAGATATATACAGGGAACTATTACTGTTATTCTTGTTGTTATGTTTTTCTCTTGGAATGTTCCATGAAACAGTATATCTTGGGGGCATCTTAATATTTGCTAGTGATAGAATAGGTTGATGCAACGTTGTCTTCTTTGTATTTTGCAGGGTCTTTTCGCAGTGATTGGTTTTTATTAATGATGAATTTTAGTTTTCTATATTGGTGAATGGTGACCTAGAAACCTTGTATTTTTATTTGGAAGTCACAGGATAAATAAAGTATCTGGTTTTTTATAATGCTTTTAATTAAATTAAGTATTCTATCCTTCTACCAGTTGAAAGTCTTGTCTGTATTCTTCTCTTAAATGGCTCCCAATTCCTGGATAATTGTTCGTTGATGGCTGATATGTATCCTTGTCAAATATCACTTGAATTTTTTTTAATTCTTTTCCCCATCTTAATTTGAGTTGTTTAATTTTCATATTAATGGGGAGCAAGAACTCAATTCAACTGCTCTTTTTTTTTTTTTTGTCCTCTCCCTCTCTCTCAGGCCATCACATCAACTGCGGTAAAGAAAGGAGGACTATCTACTGGGGATGTAGCAGCACAATACAAATACAAGAACATTCTAATTGATGTCAAATTTGATGCGGCATCAAGTGTGGGTTTCTTAATACCTCAGTCTTCTAAAAGTTCAATACACTTGTTTTCGGTGACCATATCCTCTTATGACTGTTTTGGCAGATCTCAACTACTTTAACTTTCACTGATTTTGTTCCCTCAACAAAGACCATTGCTTCATTCATACTGCCTGATTATAACTCTGGCAAGGTATGTATCTAACAAACTCCTATAGGAAATATGAGGTGTTGGTATCTTTTCAATTTCTGAAACTTTTTGTGTGTTTTCTTATGCAGCTGGAGGTTCAGTACTTCCATCACCATGCAAACTTCACTACAGCTGTTACTCTGAGCCAATCTCCTACCGTTGATCTTTCTGCAACCATTGGTAACCCAACTATCGCTTTTGGTGCTGAGGCTGGTTATGAGACCAATTCCAGTAAATTTACGAAGTATACTGCTGGCATTAGTGTGACAAAACCAGACTCTTGTGCTTCAATAATTCTGTAAGTAGTGGTGGTACTAGTTTGCCACAATATAAGCAGTGAAATTGTTCATAAATTCTGATGTTTAGTTGCCATGGTATTCTCTCAGGGGTGATAAAGGAGACTCTATAAGGGCATCTTATGTGCACTATATGGATCAAATAAAGCAGAGTGCTGTTGTGGGAGAGATCACTAGAAAGTTTTCGACAAATGAGAACACATTTACAGTCGGTGGATCATATGCAGTTGATAACCTGACAGTGGTCAAAGCAAAGCTCAACAATCACGGGAGGCTTGGGGCTGTCTTGCAGCACCAACTTGTACCAAAATCACTTCTGACCATCTCTAGTGAGTTTGACACCAAGGCCTTGGACAAAACACCCAGGTTTGGTTTGGCCCTTGCTCTCAAGCCTTGATGATGATATCATGCTTTTGAAGTTTTTGTTTTGGTCACATTTGAAAAAAGGAGCTCTCAATAAGTAGTTCCACAGAGATATTTGTTTTAGGATATTAATTAATGACTCTGGATAGATACTTAGGCCCTTCCACTGTCATTCTCTCTCTCTCTCTCTCTCTCTCTCTGTATTTTCTTCTATTTTTCTCTTCCAAGCATCTTGACATACTTGCATATTTATTCTCTTGATTTGGAGGAGCTTTTTGTTGGGATTGGCAAAAAATTTCTTATCGGCTTTCTTATGAAAGTATGTTTTGGGATTTTGGATGTCATTGGAATATACCACTGATGGAAAACAGTTTTTGCTCATGCTGTCTTCTTACTTTCACTTTGGTATTATTATTTTCTGTTCTTTTACAGTTTATACGGTGCAGAAGTTGGTTTAATTGATTGCATTAGTAGGCTAAGCAAGAATCTGCTCTGCCCATTAGTAGGCTAAGCAATGAATGCAGCTCTGATGAAATTGGTGTTCGTGTTTTTTGATAAATTCGTAATTGTTTTGTACTTTAGGGGGGGCCATAGGATTTGGAACTCAGTACATTTTTTCATTCTACTTATTGCTACAATTCTTGAAGACACTATTAATGAGTATTGTTACATTCCCTAATACATTATCCCCATTTTGACCTCCAATGAGGTGAAAGACAGAGAGAAGGAGAGTAGTGAGATAGAGAGAGGAGTGTGGGTTCTTTTTTACATGGTCTATTCCATGTCATTGGAAGTGGATTAGAGTGCTTAAGTAGAGCTTCCAAACATTTTTTTAGTATTAACATGGGCGAGTTGTATTGAAGTCTTTGATTGTTACGAATGAAGTTCTAGGAGGCTGTTTATGTTGCGACTTTCGAGATGAAAGTGATTTGGCTTTTAAGTAGTGGCAACTTCCCACTAATTCAATTAATCCTCTATTCATAGCTACCATGCAAATTGAATATCTTTTTAACTTTTAAACAAAATTTTAAATAATTTACTATTCACCCTATTTATAGCCTTTCAATTACTATAGTAGTCTCTCATCTATCTTGGTGTTTATAAAATTTTAACACAATGGACTCAAAACTCACCATAATAATGTGTTCAGTGTTCTGCCCAATTTTAACACGATCAATGTTTTGCTGTTATCTTCATTAATTATACTTGCATTGATAGCTCAAATATGCCACATTGTCCATTTTTCGTTTTATAAAAATTCAACCAAAAATAAAATAATAGGCTAATATAAAAAAATAATATTAATAAATTTCTTATTTTATACAACTGCTATAAAACTGCAAACAATTATATCAACATAATTTTAATTCAAAAACAAATTTAAAGGCATTTGTTTTTTTTTTTTTTTTTTTTTTTTTTTTTTTGAACGAGATAAAAAAGTTCAAGAAAAGTACAACGGAGTTCAAAAGATCAAATCACATGAGTAATGAATTTAATCGACCACGTGACACTCAAGTGAAGGTTGAAACAAAAGTAAGAAAAGTTAAAATAGAAGTATTGGACAAGATAAATAAAGGGTAAATTACATTTTATCTCTTTTACATTTTGGCTACTTTCTTATATTGGATTTTAAAATTTATTTTTTTTCACTTTAATCTTTCATATTTCAAATTTTTTTTAATTTACTTCTAAAGTTAATTTCTGTTAAAAATTAAGAAAAATTACTCAAAAATCTCATTTGGAAAAATGTTGCTCCATTTAGTCCTAGAAGTTTTTTTTCAAACCAATTAATCTTTTTATTTATGGTATATTTTGGAGTTTACTTGTTTATCCTTGAGTGTGATTTTGGTTGTGATTTTTTCCTAATGTTTGGATGAGTTGGTTATGGTATGGTGTTTATTTTTCAAATTTTTGTGGAGGATTATGTGGAGTGATTTGTGGGGTTAGTGATGTTTAGCCATTTGATGTGGGGGAGTTGATGTAGAATCATGGTGGTGTTGTTGTTGGTTGTTATTTTATTTTATTTTATTTTTTTGATTTTGTGACTGATATTTGGGTGGGCATATTAAGGTATAATGTTATGTGTCTAATTTTTATTGTTAGGGTTGCGTAGAATGATTTTTGGGGCTGATGCTGTTGCCATTTCACGTAGTTTTATGATGTGGAAGTGTGGGTCATTGATTTAGGGGGTTTGGTTTCTTTTTTTTTTTTTTTTGGTTCAATTGCTGTTTCAGGTGCTATGTTGTTGACCGTCTGTGCGGGAATTTGTAGGTCTGTTTCATTGTTGTGTTGGTGACGTGTTGGGCGACATTTTTGTAGGTTAGTTTCGTATGTTGTTTTGTTGTTGGGTCAATGTGTGTGGGTGTGTCTTGAAGTATGGAATTAAGGTGCAAATGTTACGTTGCTATTTTAGGGGTGTAATTTTTTATTTTTATTTTTTGCACTGGATTGTTCAGGGTTGTATGTTGATTTATTTTTGCTCTGGATTGTTCAGGGGTATAGTTTGATTCATTCTATTCTGTATTGATTCGTAATGTTATGTGGTGTTGGTTTAATCTATTGCAAGTATAAAAGGTGCAGTGGTGTTGTTGTGACGTTGTTATGTACGTATGGACAGACTAGTACGGTTGTTCGCCTCCATCAAGCTTTGACGTTTGCATAGTTGGTTGATAGTGTATGTAAGAAGCTTGATAGCTTGGAGTGGGATTGATAGCTTGTTCATCATGTGGTTTTACTGATGTTGGCAAACATTTTTCAGACAATTAAATCCCAAATTTAATTCTTCTGGTAAATATTACTGATGTAGGTAAACATTACCGACATTACTAAAAATTAAAGACAGGACGTGATGGTTGTTAGGTTGGTAAACATTTTTTTCCTAGTGCTGCTTTATCGTGTGTTGTTAGTGGTTCGATGTGGTGTCAATGTGGACTCCGTTTTTTATGGTGTTAGTGGTTGGATTAATTTTTTGTGATTGTAACAATCCCGACTCATGATTAACGTTAATCCATACTTAATTATACCTAATAAGTAATTAAAGTTAAATTTTTCATCATATGTTGCCTTATTTGTGTTTATATCTGTTTAACATAGAAAAATTTATTTATGTTTCCATTTCGGTTTGCGAATTGAAGGCCTTATCGGCATCCGATTCAAAAATTGACTTGATTTATGTGTTATTTGAGATTTTTAAAATTTTATGATAGATTTAATTGAAATTTGATTTAGAACCAAATAATTAAAATAAAATTAGTGTAATAGTTTACTTTAATCAAAAACTAATTAATCTCACTAATGGTACCTATATAAGCCATATGTTGCCTCATACCACCACTATACACACACACTCCATCATCTTTTGCCATCAAACGTAAGAGGGAGAGAGAGAGAGAGTTAAGTATAGAAAGCTTGAGCTCAAGAGAAAGGGAGTTTGGATTGGAAAGAACTTAGAGCATTTGACTTGGGAACTCAAAACATCTACACATCTAGGCCATAATTGAGCACCTAAGGTCACGCACCGCAAGATATTTGAATTGTCTACTTTGTTCATCTACTTGGAGCCATCTGTTATTTGTGAGTAATAACTTAGTAAAGTTATGTTCAAGTTAAATTATTTTCTGTATATGGAATAAGATCTATTTTATGAAATGTCATGTTTTATACTATGAATGATTGTCTAACTCTCACAAATGTTTGTGGCATTTATGCTATGATTCAAGTATGTTATCTGTTATCTATACCCGAACTGAAGGTTCCTTATGGAACGAACAAGTTATATGTACCCGGTTGGAGGTTTCTTTGTGGAATTGACAAGTTATCCGTTCCCAGTCCGGAGGTTCCTTTATAGAATTGACAAGTTATCCGTTCCCATTCTGGAGATTCCTTTATGGAACTGACAAGTTATCCGTTCCCGGCTGGAGGTTCCTCTATGGAATTGACAAGTATGATCTATGATGCTTTGTAAATTATTTGTTAGCGCTAACGGATGTATTAAGGACAATTAAGCATGAACCCTGATTTCTATATATGCTATGAACAAGAATACGAATGTGAATCTGTCTTCAATATGAACTCTGGTTTCTAAATTAGTTTTGGGACATCATTCATGTATCCCTTTACTCTGTTATTATTCATTGGGCTCTCGCTCATTATTTATTTATTATGTATGTAGGTGAGCAGGCTCGTGACCAGGCTTAAGATGATGCTTGAAGAATTTTGTGTTTGTCAGCCACCTATTGTGCCTCTCGAGGAGGTTCCGGATTGGTCAAGTCTTATGGCCATGTTTTGTGAGTATTTAAGACTTTGTTTCTTTTGGCTCACGAACAAAAAGTCTGTTTATATATACATGGGATGATGTATGACTACTATACCTTTATGACGTCATATGTATGCGTATAATGTAAGATTATCTGTCCTATGTATGTCTGCACAACTCCATGGACTATGTATATTTTTATATATTTGCTTCCGCAGCCCCTAACATATGATTCTATTCAGAGGCCTTAGGTAATCTAAGGATTACTGGCTGGTTATAATGCTAAATCTACAGGGGCGGGTTTGGGTCGTGACAGAGTGGTATCAGAACACGTGTTCTACCGCACACATGAGTCCATACGAGCTTAGGATGTCCTAGTAAGAAGTAGAGGCATTCTATCTGCATGTGTGAGTGTGTGTACATTAAAAGTGAAAATTGAATCTAACCATGATCATATGACATTGAAACAAATTATCTGAATACTGTGAAAGAGACTATTTGTCTATGTTTATAGTGTTCTGTTTACCTATGGCAAATGGAAAATACAAGAAGTGATGGGTCAGCTGAATCATCTGAGGCTTGAATGAGCTGCATAGAACAAATGCTTGCAGCTTTAACTGAGGCAATGAATCAACAACAGAGGCAACAACCCTTACATTCCCTACCTCCACCGATACAAGCTGAACCAGATAACAATGATATTATCAACTTGACCCAGAAGTTCATGAAAATGAAACCACCGACTTTCTTAGGTGGTATTGAGCCGTTGAAGGTAGCAACATGGTTGCTTGAGTTGGAAAAATTATTCGAGGTCTTTCCCTGCTCTGAGACTCAAAATGTTCTTTTGGCCACCTATACCATAAAAGATAAAGCTCGTAGATGGTGGTTGCTAATCCGAAGGAATAATGGGACTATGACACGAGCTCGTTTCAATGAGATCTTTTACGATAAGTACTTTCCTCAGTGCTTCTGAAATCGAAAAGTTTTTGAATTCCAAGAACTTAAACAAGGCAAGATGTCAGTGGCCGAGTATGAGGCCAAGTTTACTGAACTGACTCGATTTGCTTTACATATGGTGGATACTGATTACAAGAAGGCATGGAAATTTGAAGGCGGATTGGATTTG